CTGTGTGAATTTCTCGTTTTTAATGAAGGTTACTTCCGACCACTTTTCTAAACATTAACAGAGTGGATCTTTGAAGTTGCTACTAGTTTAATTTGAGTTTTATAAAAGGCAATAACATTGGGCAAGGAGCAGTTAACCTAGAATCCATGACTCCTAAAGTTCATCATCAAAGTGTTTAGTAGATTATCATCCAACCCAAGGATTTTAACCCACGTTATCCACTTCCCAACAGTGCGCTTTAACTCCTACACTATTCAAGTATTAACTGACTATACATACGTACAAACGACACCCATTATTTGGTCACTGGATGGTAACTGAGAATCCAACATCAGCCAAAGTACACTGTAGAATCATGCTACTTTGTTCAGTGGCTCTATTTCAAACTTAATCAATAGATGTCTCAAAAAGATTTAGATGTAACGACTATTTCTTTTATCATTAATAAATAATTTGTTCATTTCTAAACTTTTTCTAATCATAGCTATTTTAGTGGAAAATACTGAGCCAGTAATAAGCTTTACCATGCTTCAGACACAAAAGGAATATACAGGTATGCTGAAATACAAGGTTTGTTGATGCAACATTCCTCAGAAAAGTAGTTCAATAAACACACAGCTTACTTCCTCCTTAGAATGTAAATCACTAACACCAATATTATGAACTATATTACAAAGAAAGTGAACACAACCAGTAACACAATCTCAATTACCTTTTGCTAAACATAGAATACCGAAAGGGAGTTGGGTGACATACTAATAGATCGAAAGATGCCAGCATTTTTCAGTTTGAAGGTGATCACATTAACTAGAAAGCTAAGCTGTCGAACAATAGAATAGAATACCATTTTCATTTGATTTGCACCTTATCATGTGAACCTTCTAGTGTATACAAAGAAATGAAACTTGTTTTATTGAGCATCTACACTCCACCTGCTATGTTAAAATGAAAGCTACTTTAAAATATAAAAAGTACCTAGTTCACACTAACAGTTTCCAGTCACTTCTCAGTTATAGTCAAGTACTTTGCTAAAATTTACAGAAATGCTTTTAAAGCTGCTCCACTAACTACTTGTATGTTAGTCGATTTTTATTAAGATTTCCTGATATGCCAATTATTAGGCTTCAGGAGATTTATTGCATTTCCAGTCTTCATAAAAAATGAACTTCAGAAAGAGTTATATCCTGAAAATCATCAATGAACATAACAGGTTTGGTGAGAAACTTTGATATAAAACGTTCAGAATAAATCTACCATTTTAATGAAATGAAAATGTTTGTAATGCAGGTTGATTATATGCGAATATTTCAAATGAAACGGAACTTTGCGTAGCTGCTGATAAGATACATCTAGAATTGAAGAACTAATCACGTTAATGAAATCGGAATTATGAACAAGGGAACACTTTTGAATGAAAATGGAGGTAATCTAATTGAAGCTGAATTGAGAATCTGAGTAATGACAGGATTCACACCCGATGCCTCGATATTTCCTTTGTTTTAATTACATGTATTAATGATGGATAGTTGCTGAATGTGGATCCTAGATGCTCATTGCGTCCTGCATGAGACTCGTCAGCTGAATGCACCTGCCTTCCAGTGAGGGTTGTTTCCGGTGTTATTATATGAATTACCAAGTATACATCATTCTCAGGACACCAAAGATGTGTAAACCTTCAGGGAGATCAAGCCAGTACTCTGTGCTTGATCCAAGCATTCGAGTTGTCGATGCACTTTGTCACTTCATCGTCAGTTATCCTTAAATTTTGTAACTTCATTTTATCTTGTACCTTAATTCTACTGAATGTTAAATTTTTATTTGTTTTGATTTTACCTCATTCGACGTATGATTTCTCATAGTTCAATCCTAATTTTGATAACCTAGAGTTCAAAATCAATAGTTACATGCACCGTCTGATAGAATAATTAACCACTGCAGCATAGTTAGTCACCAATGTTAGCTATCAGGTTTTCATGGATTCCGAGAAATATTCAAACATCAAGGCAAGTGGAAACGTCACGATTTTTCTTTCAAATCACATAGGAATCAAACTAGAATACTGCATAGTTTTGACAAGTGTGTTGTTGTTGAACTTCTGAACAAGAATTATGTGGGGGAGCGTTTAGCTTACATCAAGGAAGTGATGAATCAATTCTCACTTTAAATGGTGTCATCGTTGACTGTCATCACAGCTGAAGACGTGTTTCACTAAGGAGCCATAGATTTTGAAATTTAATTCTGATTTTTGGCCAGCTCTAAGTTCTGCGTTGATTATTCGATCCATGGACGTTCCAACGCAACCTGTTTTATCATTCTCCCCTCCCCCTCAAATTGATCACTATCATCCTAGAACCCTCCCAACTGTCACTTTTAATCCATTTAAATTTGCGGGGTTATTAAGCTCGTTGTCGTGCTCATCTCCCACGAACGAAGGTGTCTGGGAAGCGTCTTGCTGAAGTCCTTACAACCTTTCAAACTGAATGCACCTAACTTTCCGGAAAAGGTATTACTCTAGGAGACCTGATCTGTGAACCCGTGATGCCAACAGATCTCCAGCCATGCTGCTGATATGCAGCTAGGTTTAGGGCTAAGAATACCAGCATTCCAGACCGAGAAGCTAAACCATATCCAATTTCCTGAAATTGTATAAACAACAATGATTTACCTTGGCTTTCGGTGGCACAGATCCTAAGAACTCAGTGGAATCCTGATGGTTTACAAGACTTACATGCTTTAAAGATTCGCGTCACTAATTCCCAGCATAAAGATCACACTGATTGGGGTTTATTCCAAGTCAGTTTTACGATACATTGGCTGGTAGCCAACTTGGCAGTATGGAGGCCCATCGTCATACGCAACTTAAGTCAATCCACAACCACTAGTTTTAACTACTCGTAACATAAACCCAACACCGCTTAACGTACACTGCGTAGAGTATCCTCATGTTGACGCCTTGGCAGTTAACTGTGGAGTGGATCTCTGAATCCTTCCACCCTCAAGTCTTAATTTCACCTTCAGTTATCACTTGATATCAATAATCCCAGTCATTGAAATCACAGCTATCTCAGTTAGTTTCCTTGATAACTGATAAGACGTGCAGCCCAATGTTGCTAGATGAGTTCTCTGTCACACTAAATCACTTTTATTCTGATAATGGTTACAGTTGAAGCAAGCAGTTTGCTAGATACTTTGTTTATCACAGACAAAACTATGCATTTACCAGACATCTTAGAGAATACGAACATGTTAGCTTTCATTCCTGTGGTCTTGTTCTTATGCTTGATGTATGAATCTAAACACTTACTGCAGGGATTGACAACACAACAACTTAATCGTCTAAGCAGTATTTCCCCTGGAATGAGTAGGTCTCCTTTTTCATATAGTTAAAAGGAAGAATGTATTCCAAACGTTCTACAGATTACCTCTAACCAGTTAACATCCATTAAAGTCCACCGATGTAGTGAGCCTCCTAACTTGGTGACCACACAGTAATATGAATAGTATAATTCAGTCGCCACTCAGGATGAAACAACATGAAACTGGTTGCTCTCCAGTGACCAATCAGTATAGCCTAGTTTGGTTTACAACTATCATTCTAAAATCACGTTGAATTTTATTTTATTTTCAAAAGATAATCAATGAACATTCTGTTGGCGAGTTGAGAGGAGGCAATAACTTAAAGTGAGTTTACTTCACCATAACTAATTCATCCTTCACACTCGATCCTTATTTGAATTTTATGCTTCATCATCATTTAATGAAATACGTGTAGTCTTGTCAGATTGTTTACAAATAATGAAATTTCTTACTTAATTGTTAAACATTAAAAATTGATGGCTTTATTGAACTAATTAACTGATTTCTTCTTCAACTGTGAAATCTTTGTGAGTAAAATTGGATACTATTCAAAATATTTACTATAAACACAGAAATTTTAGATACTTAGCTCACTTTTCTTGAAGTGTCCACTCAAAAACTTACAATACCATCACATCTATGCATAAAATTCTTCTTACTGTCGTTAGTAAAAGCTTGAACAGAAATAACACTACAGACTTTTAATATAAACTGATTTTATTCAAGAATAAATTTCTAATTATATTTCATACTGGTAGTAAAATAAATATTTTATTCCCAATAGCCTTGTACTAAACTGTAAATTAGATTATTTGAAACCAGCTTTTTGACAGAATAATCTTCATTTACATGTATTGCGAGAGAAACTGTAAACCATTTAATGTGTGTTGTTTGACCGCTTCCATGTCATTTGGTTTTCTTTCAGATTCATTTATCCCCTCTATATCACAAGTATACTCTACTAGTAGCATTTAATTCAATTATAAACCAATTTTATATTCTGTCACATTTAAAGTAAATAAACTTAATAAGTAGTGATTGCTGTGAGGAGTGCATACAACATTGCTGTCCTTTATTCTATCCAAGTAGGTTGGCATTACTTTCTTTTAAAGTTGCCTTCTTAGTTAATTCTACCTTCTACACAATTTTAATGATCACTATTATAAATTAGTTGGTCTGATTATCTTATATATTTCTCAAACCCAAGTTTTTAGATAAGAATTCATAGACTGAAAGCTTCATGGTGATCTTGTAGATCAATTACTCAAGAGAACACTGGATAGTTTCTGCTACAAATTTCAATACTTTAAAACATCTCTAACAGTTGGTTTTACCAAAAATGACCAACCCGATTTCAAGGGAAATTAAAAGTATCTATTGAATGAAGGGCTAGCTAATAACGAAGCTATTCGGAAATGCATAAAAATAAACAGATTGTAAAATTTTCTGTGAATTTACGATGAAACTTTAGTTTAACTCAATCTATATGAGTCAAGTGTTCATAAGGAAACCCAAGAAAGCTGAGAATTAGGATCTGAAAGTTAGAAGCGATATATTTCTTGACATTCAGTTAACCGACGATAGTGAAATACAAATACACGCAACTGGAAACTGATATGTCAGTAGAAACATTTTCTACTTACCAAATTAACAGATATGTAAAGAACTGGCTGTTTTCTATTCACCAGCTAAGAAATCATTGAAAACCAAGGAGCACTGAAAAGATGCATTATGCTAACTTTCAAATCCTCACTAATTAGTACTCGTAATTTCATCAGAGACTTGGATAAGGTCTTCTTAAATTTTAATTAATCATATTACTCAGCCATTCGGTTGGAATCCACTGCTTTAGATTTTCTAAATCACTTCAAACTGTGGTGAATTCGTCAGTGTTAACTGCTAAGTGAGCACAAAGAAGTGTAGAATAGCTGTAAAGTGTAATCTGGTATTCATTGGTTCTCCTGCTGATATTGATTCGTCATGAACATCACACTGAATTCTTACTCAGTTCGTTTTATATTCTACTTGCACTTCTGATGTCACCTGCTGGATAAAGGTTAAAATAAAGAATAGGTTGTTTTTTCAGGTAGTTTCTTGTTTTACTGTGATATTTACAATTAGAGTCAACAAGATTTTCAGTTCTTGGTAAGGACATTAAATGCAAACTTCCTCAATTTTGCAAATGAAACTAATTTTTCGACATACCTTAAAATGCCAGATAATTGGTAAATAAGCTCAAATACTTGCTGAACAGACAATAATGTCGTAGACTTAATATACTTTAAGTTTCTGTTATTTTCTTATGTCTGGTCACGTTTCACGGTAACTATCAAATGTAACCCATGGGTTATAAATTATTTAAGAAAGGAATTCATACTTGTCCAAGATGTTTATGGCTATTAGCTGAGCATATTTATCATGTTCCTATATCCTAACAATTAATGAGCCGTGCTGGAAAGTCTAAAAAATATCCCTTCATCTCTTCACTAACCCAGTATATTACTCTGTGAGCAGATGCTTTCATACCATGCGTTGTTGTTTTAGGTTTCATCCATACTAATGGATAAAATATTTACGCTAATGTATGCGATAATTATCCTGTCCTCTGTTGATTTATTCATAAGAAATTTTCATAAACGTAACTAAAATATAACAAAAGCACACTTCGCTTAGGTTTGTTTCCCATCCCCAGATAACTAAAGTGAGATTATAAGTGACAGGCGTACTGGGAAATATAAAAGATTGGACATTTTGTGTTTCACAAGCTGTAATTGCATACTGTATGACAGTTTTACGCAATAATCCTTCGAACTAATGAAGTTCTACCGAATGGTGTTTATATGTGACATTGAATGGATGACAGAAAAGCATGATATAAGAAAATGAATGCTCGATGTTCATAAGTATTGGACTAATTTGTCCAACATATGTAGCAAGAACGTGTATTTTGCCCGGCTAATAGTTAGGGAAATTAAAGTAATTCTAGGACACGCTTACTTGGATATCACGGTATGGTTAACTAAACTCAAACAAATCTAGTCTGTTTGGAGTCTTGTGGGGATTTAGTAGTCTCAGGTTGATTGGTGCTCATTGATGACTAACTTCGTGACGTGGTTCTCGAAGTTCCGATCACAATCGTCACCAATGGGGCCAGTCAAGCCAGAAATGAGGGCAGTCACTCAGAGGAGGCATTGGATGGAGGTCACGCTATATCGTGAACTGATGGCAGTAGGAAATATGGATCATTGGATTCCGACCTAGTAATTAAGTGTTAACGTGTTGGCTGCCAAATCCAGAGGATCTGGGTTCAGTCCGTTACAGGGTCATGGGTGCGCACTGCTGAACAGTCCCATGCTAGGACGAAACGGCCGTCCAGTGCTCTAAGGTCTCCAATGTTACTCCATCTAATGTCAGTCCATTATGAATACCAACCTGTCAAAAAGGTATTCATTACATTGCGAAAGGTTACATAAAATATACGTAGAAACGCGCGTTCCGGATTCTTCTGCCAGCCACAACCAACCAATTTGTCATACATAGAAATGTTGCAAGATTTATTTCAGTTGAGAACTAATGTGAGTAGAATTCAGAAAATTAGGTCATGGGTGTGAAACGAAAAATAAGAAAAAAGCCGATATGTTTGAATCGACAATGATATGCAAAAAACACGTTTATTGTCAACAAAACGAAAGTCTTTACCATGATAGGCATAGACTGATGACTATGTCTTTCTTTTAATCATTTAATGGCTAACACTTCAGCTGGATGCCACAAATTCAAATTCATTTGTTTATGAATTATTCTGAACGATTTCTGAATAGCGACTTCATGTCCAACAATAAGGTTACCAGCAATAGCGCTGTTGAAGAATTTTCCACTTGTTAGTCGTAAATCCCTTGGAATATGCTCAGACATACGGTCATAAACTACATGACTGACAATATTTTAAGCAGCTGATGAAAAAGTGCGAAATAAAATGAATCCATACTACACTGCTGAAGCTGTTGTTCTTGCTTCATTTGCATTTACAAAAGGAAAAAAGTATGTAAAGTTTAATTCTGTTCGACTGATTACTGTAATCTACATTTCTTCAGTCTTTATTAGCATTATCTGTTATAAAATTTAGTACCCAACAAAGAAGTGTATCACTACTTATTTAACACCCTACACTGTATCAAAATCTTATTTAAGGTACCAAAGGATAAGATTAAAAAAGTGAATGATTTGTGTATTCTTTCGAACGATTTCGTATTTTAAAAACAAGCCAGGGAACTAACTAAATATACTCCCTTTGAGGCTTAAGTAACCTGTTGTGAATTGGCTGATAGTCTATAAACTGAGATATGAAGTTTGAAATACTCATCTAGATGGTGTCTTGAATTATGATAATAAGCAGCTAATGCTCCACCAGTTTCAGCTTTGTAAGTCTGTTTTTTCAGTTGAAAATTATCACCAAAGAGGTTTGAGAGGACGAGTCTTTCTAGTAGTAACGGGAACGGTATTCAGCATAATGGCAACCCACAAATTAGTCTACATTTATTAATTTGTACCCATCTGGCACTTGCCAACTCGCGTCCTATGGGGTGACGGTGAAATATCTTATTACCTACCAAAGGATGAGTGTACTGCGCAGCAGTCTGTTCTGTCTTGTTATGAGGCTGTGAGACAACCGTTAGAAGTACATGATATGAAGACATCACACTTTTTTGATCACAGATGTCTTCGTAGCTCACGTTTGGTGGGATCATCGTGTGATCAACTTTGAGGTCGGGTGAAGAGTAGTAGGCAAGACAGACAATTCGATTGATGAGGTTGCAAAACAATCCACTGAGATGGCTTAAACATGTGTTACCCGTCCCGAGTCGCTGCCTACCTCGACGTGCAATGCTAGGAGAATTTAGATTGGGTTGGAAGGGGGTTCAAGGTGGCCAGACCAAAACATGGCACGAGCGTTAAGTCCCTAACTGTTTGTATGAGCAGCGTTGGGAGATGTAGACTACTTTACCAGGGTCCAGGAGACAACAGGCACCAGTGATTGAGAACTCCTGGTGACGTAGCTGGAAATCGGTCACGATGGCACAGGTGTTTTCACATTTAATGGTTTATAAAGTTTGAATGTGTTTAACTTATCTTGATTTTTAAATTCTCTCTATCCCCATATACCCTTTTCCACCTTGGTATCAGTCTTTCTTATCAAGTTTTTTTTCTTGAAGTGTAGCAACTTGAACCAGTGCAGTTGTATGAGAAAGTCTTCGTTGATTTTTTCTATCTGTCTAAGAAATAAATGCCGTATCACTCCCTAATGGACGGCAGTCTCCTTGGGTTAACTGATAAGTTTCTAAGACCCATCATTAGTTATATATATATATATATATATATATATATATATATCAAGTTGGTAATTAGCCTACTTTTTCCTCATATTACAAATATCAATTGACAATTAAAAACCAAGTGTTCAATCACATTGAGGATTAGTTGTAATCATAGTACCATTGTGTATTTTAGTCGCCTCTGTAGTCATACTGACCAAAGTGAATGGCTGAAGAGATCTACATCTCAACAGATTTTGCCATTCAGTGACTCATTCATTTACTACAATAAATATCTGTAAGTTCACATCTGCTGGCATACAACTGCCTTTAAGCTGCCGCCACGTACACTTTTTCTGTGTGAAGCTGATCAAAGAGAATGTGTTTCAGTGCATACAATAAATTCATGAAATTTAATTTCAGGTTTATCAACCATACACAGGCTACTTATGGCAAATTTATTAGGTCAGTTGGTATGACGTACTTCAAAGTTTTGAAGTCCATAGCCAACTAGAATATGGAACGTAGCGCAAGGGTTAAAACTAGAATTACCACAATGAAAATGTTGAGAAACAGTGAATAGTTTCAAATTAGTATTCATCACGGATTGACATTGAGGGAATCACTGAAGGTTTAGGATCACTGGACAGCTTTTTCGTCCTGGTGTGCGATTCGCCAGCAATCCGCACCCAAGACCCCATCAGGGGTCAAACTCAACACCTACAAGAGTGGCGATGAGCACTCTGCTATCCACCCACTGGATCGAAATCCACTCGTTCACATTTCCTACTTCTGTCAGTTCACGATATAGTATGATCTTCATCCAATCCCGTAGTTGAATACATGTTCTCATGTCCAACTTGTAATCATGATGATTGTAGAATCAAAAAAAATAACTAAATGTATAGGACAGCAAAATTACTTCTATTTACTAAGCCTTATATCGTAAACGAAATCAACAGTATGAAATTTTCCGTAATATCTTAGAGTGATTCCCTGCAGTATGATTGTACTGTATTGACTTCCAAGCATACCAACCTATATAAATCGGAATGAAAGTTGATAAATAACAAATTTGATTGTCAACTAAATTGTAATATCAAGCATTTATAAGTTACAATAAAGAAAATATATTAACATGCGGAACTGGAATTAAATAAAGTATCTTTTACTTCTAACGAAACCTTATATCAAATTTCAAATAATGTAAATAAATAAATAAGGACATAATTCAATTTTATAATGAAATTGAACAACTAGTATATATTTTTCAGTATATATTTACGTGTATACAACACTACACAAACAGTCTTTTAGACTGAAAACAAGTACACACTCACAAACATGTTTATTTATTACTGTCATTTTACCTGACATTTAACAGTAAAACTTTTATTTAGCACAGAATAAATAATCAAATCTGTGTTAACTGATATAGTTATACGCACGTCTGCATAACTATACATGCATACTAACTAATATTGCAAATTGAAGGGAAATATGAACAGAATAAGCACACACTTGATTAGGTAAAATTATATTCCTTATGAAAGACATGGTTATTAAAACATTACTGTGAGAAGAAATCTATGAACAATCAGGTGATCAATGATTTATCACTGAATACAAAATAAATATATTCTGTTTTGTATTTTCTTATCTATTTTCATTGTTTATGTACTTATTTGCCAGTGTAAACTGTTGATTTCGAGGGAGAGAGAGAGAGACAAGGTTTGTTTTAGATAAACAGATACGTCTATAGTAGGAATGCCTTAACTACTTTTAGGAAGAGAATGGGTGAAGAGAAAAAGCGAAGGCAACTCTTTTCAGCAAATTAATTCCCAAGCTGTTCATTTGTATCTATGTACATATGATATTTAAAGACTGCACTTAGTGAGGAAGATTCAATTTAAATAATGGGAGATTGAAATAACAATAGTGATGGCTATAGTAATAATGTTGCTAGTTGATGAAGTAAAGGTTGAACGATAACAAAAGAATGTTACGTAAGATTTTCCAAGTCCTTTACAAGGTATATATAGATTAAAAAGGTGTAAAAACATGGTAGAATTCATATACAATCAAGGGATTGGATAGTATGAATAAGACAAGTTAATTGCAATAAATTGAAAATATTTCAGTAAAAGTAAAACCAAAAACTTTTAAGTGTAAAAATAATAATGATAATGACGATATAAAAGTATAAAGATTAATCTAGCAAAGGTGGAAGTTGAAAAAA